TACAAAGTACATGTATGTGCAAAAACTTTGTATAAAACCAGAGATGTGGAAAATTGTGCTCTATGTGTGTAATAAGAATTGTAATGCATTCCGCTGTCATATATTAAAAAACAAAAAAAAAGAAAATTCCACTGGAAACCATCACCAACAAATTAGATTTCATAGAAAACTTGAGTCCTTGAGGGCAGAACTTCAACTTCAGGCCTCCAAGACAGGGTAAATTGTCTCCGATGGGGATGTTCTGGCGGCCAGCATGGAGGTGGCAGGACCAGCTGGAGCTGGGGGAGTCAGTAACTCTGAGGGAGAAGTCACCCAACCAGAGGGCTGAAAGTCCAGGGAGGGAGCAGAGGCCCCGCGGGGGTGACTGAGGCCCTGGTGGCAAGTCCCTAGTCAAAGTCCAGGCCAGGCCTCTACCTTTAAGGCAGAGTGCCAAGGTGGCAAGAACCCTGCACTCCCCGGAATTCTGAATGCTTTGGTCATAATTGATCCCTGCAACGCTCCAGGACATTCAGCTAGAAGGTGGATGGTCATAGAGCGGTTTTTGGAGCACAGCTGAGGGCTCTCTGAAGCTCTAGCAATGTTTTCGTGGTTTAGAGGCCTAGGCTTCGGGTTGGGCCAGTCTTTGGGTCAGGTGGGAGGCAGCTTGGCTTCCCCCACTGGCCAAGTCTCCAGCTGCATCATACATATGCCTGTGGAGGTCTCCAAAGCTGTGGAAGACAGTTCACTTCTTCGTTGTCGAGGAAAAAAAATTGAAACCACAGAATCAAGGTTGAGATCAGAGAATACAAGACTTAAAAAGTATTGTACCGATCTGGACAAAAAGGATGAAGCAGCACAGCTTCAAATAAACCTTCAATCTACAAGTTACCAAAACCAGCTGCAACAGAAACAGGTAGACATCAGCCATCTTCAAGCAAGCCAGATGGCACTACAGGAGCAGGTGTTGAGCCTGCAGTCAGCTGCTCAATCAGTACTTTCAGAAGCCAGTGGTGTACCAGCAACCAGCGCACCTTGTTCATTCGGTTATGGACTCAGCCATCATTTTTCAACTTTCTGTGATGATGCCAAGGACTTTAGTAACATAATTTCATCACAACAGGAAATAAACAGATTGAAAAATGAAGTTTCAAGACTTGAATGTGAAGTTGGCCATTGGAGGCGTAACACGCAGGCACAAAGAACAAATGATTCAGATCAAAGTGAAATCAGCAAACTATACCATACAATTAAGGTACTGGAACAAAACCGAAGTCAGGACATGGATCATCACCAACATGAAATGTCCGTTTTGCAGAATGCACATCAACAGAAACTGGCAGAGTTAAATCACCAGCATAAACAGGAGTCATATGACTATGAAGGACGGATCACAGAACTTGAAAAGCTGTTACACCAAGGTGACTCAGGAGTTACAGTCACTGATGAGTCTCAAGTCTGGGAGATGCAAAACACTATTCAGGTTCTACTAACTGAAAAACTAGAGTCCACAAGAAGAATCAAAGAACTTGAGGATACAATCAAAGTCATAAAGAAAAAATTATCTTCTGCAGAACACGACAGAGATGTCCTGAAGAGAGAAAAAGAGCAGCTCAGTGTGGAAAAGAGACAAATAATTGAAGAGTGTGAAAACTTGAAAGTGGAATGTAGTAAATTGCAGCCTTCTGTGATGGAGCAGAGTGATCCTGCTACAGAAAAGGGAACAATATCTCCACAGAGTTCATCAGTGGGAGAAGTGTTGAGAATACAACAAGCCCCGTCTGATGCTGAAAATGAAAAAATGAGTCTGAGTAGTTTAAAACAAGATACCAGTCTTGCTGAAGACAATCTGAAACTTCAAATGCATGTCCAAGTTTTAGAAAAAGAGAAATCATTATTGAGTCAAGAAAAGGAAGAACTTCAGATATCACTTTGCAAATTGAGCTGGGAATATGAAGTCATTAAAAGTTCAGCTTCAACAGACATGAATTTGAATGTACAAATACATGACTTAACACTTAACTTGGACGCTAAGGAGCAAGAACTGAATGAAAGTATTAACGAAAAGGAAATGCTGATAGCTGAGTTAGAAAAACTGGACAACGAGAACCAGGAAGCTACAAAGCACATGAATTTGATAATAGATGAGCTATCAAAACAGCAAAATGAAGGAGATGGTCTAATCACGAAATTGAAACAAGATCTAGATGACAAAAAAGAGAGAGTTCATCAATTTGAGGAGGATAAAATGGACATAACTAAAGAGTTGCATGTAGAGAAAGAAAAGTTAACTGAGAGTGCACTGAGCCTCCGTGATTTGCATTTAACCAAGCAGAAGCTTGAAAATAAAGTCGAAGATTTAGTAAATCAGCTAAGTCAGTCACAAAAAAAGTAGTTTAAATATCCAGCAGGAAAACCTGGAACTTAAGGAATACATTAGCCAAAAGGAAGAGGAACTATGTAGAGTTCAGAACGAGGTAAGATATGCTGTTAATGAAGACTCTCATTTTAAGGATGACTTGCTTAAAGAAGGGGAAGTCGAAATTACAAACTTGAAGCAAAATCTTGCAGAAGTAGAACAGCTCAATGAAAATTTAAAGAAAGTTGCTTTTGATCTGAAAATGGAAAATGACAAGTTGATTTCAGCATGTGAAGATGTAAGGCATCAATTGGAAGAATCTATTGCTGGTAACAACCAAATTTCTCTAGAAAAAGACACTATTATGGAGACTCTGAAAACAGAGAAAGAACAGATAGAAGTAGAACTGTGTCAGGCCAAAAAGAAACTGTTGGAAGAAGCAAACAATTACAGGCAGACTATTCAGGAACTCTCAAATGTATGTAATTGTAATACCTCTGCCTTACAGCTGGAACAGGAGCATGTAGTGCAACTCAGTCAAGAGAAAGACTTTGAAATAGCAGGACTCAAAAAGAATATTGAGCAAATGGCTACTGATCAAAAAGAAACTAAGGAAATGTTGGCATCTCGTTTAGAAGAACAGAAGCAATTGATGCAACTTATAAATGAGAAAGAAATTTTTATTGGC